TGGTCACAGCTGACAGATAGTGTTCTAATGTCAGCTGTGGATCCAGGAGGACACCCAAATTGCGGGCCCTTTCCGAGGGGTGTATAACTTCACCTCCCAGGCTAAGAGGTGGAATGTCTGGACCATCCTTGGGAGGCAACATCAATAGCCATCAACACTTAGAAGAAGCTGGATTATTAATACAGGGATCTCCGGTCTTGATAACTTTCACTTGTGGACTTCAACCCCCAGAATTCCCCAGTCAACATAGGAATGCTGGGGGTTGATATCCACAAGTCTTAAAGTTGCCAACTTTGGAGCTGCATTAATAAATTCCAACTAGACTCTTGCCGTAGGAGTCATCTGTTAAATCATTCTTAAGATTAAAAAGAAGGTTGTGTGACATGCATACTTTTTTTCACAGACACAGCAAGTGAATCTGTTTAAAAATATCACTCCTGAAATAAATGATTAGCCCAGAGGGATAGTTAAAGCACATTCACTGCACAATTGCAATAAAGCTATTTCAACTTTGCAATGCTGTAAAGAAGCATTGGGTCATCCAGAGGTACTGTTGAAAGAGATCACTTACAAATATGAGTCTAGGAAAAGTTTTCCTAATGAGAGAAACCTAAAGGCTCTTCTCTAATGCTGAAAGCAGCAAGGGCTGGCTGTCATTCATTTGTTCTGCGTAAAGAAGAAGAACTTTGGTGCATTGTTTAAGTGTCATCTTCTCTTAGAACACATGGAAATGCTTCTCATTATATTTAGGAATTTTAGGTCTGGTACTTTCACCCCCTAAAATGCCTGTCAAGCAAGAAATTCTTATGTGGGTGTAACCCAAAGGTGTGGTTTTAAAAGCCGGTTGGGTTTTGTTTTTCCTTGAAGATGTTCTGCTTCTCATCCAAGAAGCTTCTTCAGTTCTTCCCACCCAAGAAGTTTCTTGGATGAGAAGCAAAAACGTCTTCAAGGGGAAAAAAAACCCTTCAGTTACCTTTTGAAAAAGCACCTTTAGAATAACCATGACCTGGAGGACTGAGAATCTCCATAGATGTATGTGGGTGCAAGTTTTCCCTCTGCTCCATCTGATATATTAAGGTTATCTCAGTGGTGAAATTCAATTTTTTTTTACTATTGGTTCTGTGGATGTGGCTTGGTGGGCTTGGCTTGGCTTGGGGGGTCGTGACAGGGAAAGGATACTGCAAAATCCCCATTTCCTCCCCACTCCTGGGGGAAGGATATTGCAAAATCTCCATTCCTGCCCCACTCTGGGGCTAGCCAGAGGTGGCATTTGCTGGTTCTCCGAACTACTGAAAATTTCCGCTGTCAGAACCTGCTGAATTTCACCCCTGGGTTACCGTTCTCAGAATTGAACGCTGAAAACAATCATTGGAACAGCTTGCCTCCAGATTTTGAGGGTGCTATGCAGTGATGTGCGGTGAGGTTTATGGCTGGTGAGGCACTGACACAGTGGTGGGTTTCAAATTTTTTTAGACTTGTGGAC